CAAACTGTAGCTGAACATCAGCTAAAGTTCATCAGCTACCACTCCAAACTGCAGCTGAACATCAGCTAAAGTTCATCAGCTACCACTCCAAACTGCAGCTGAACATCAGCTAAAGTTCATCAGCTACCACTCCAAACTGTAGCTGAACATCAGCTGAAGTTCAGCTGCTACCACTCCAAACTATAGCTGAACATCAGCNTTAAAGGCTAAAGAAGCTAAAGCTCAAAGGCCAAAGAAGCTAAAGTTCAAAGGCCGAAGAAGCTAAAGCTTAAAGGCTAAAGAAGCTAAAGCTCAAAGGCTGAAGAAGCTAAAGCTTAAGGCTAAAGAAGCTAAAGCTTAAAGGCTAAAGAAGCTAAAGCTCAAAGCCCGAAGAAGCTAAAGCTCAAAGGCTGAATAAGCTAAAGCTTAAAGGCTAAAAAGACTGAAGCTCAAAGGCTAAAGAAGCTGAAGCTTAAAGACTGAAGCATAAAGGCTAAAGAAGTTTAAGTATAAAGCCTAAAAAGGCTGAAGCTTAAAGGTTAAATTAGCTAAAGCTTAAAGGCTAAAGAAGCTAAACTCAAAGGCTAAAAAGGCTGAAGTGGTTAGAGCTAAAAGATGCCTGTCTTTAGCTTCTGTCCTTGTTTTAACCATAGCCTTTAGCTACAGTTTAGCTGTCTTTAGCTTCTGTCCTTGTTCTAGTCATAGCTTTTAGCTACAGTTAAGCTGTTTTTAGCTTATCATCTTGTTTTAATCTTAGCATTTAGCTACAGTTTAGCTGTCTTTAGCTTATCATCTTGTTTTAATCAGCATTTAGCTATAGTTTAGCTGTCTTTAGCTTATCTTGTTTTAATCTTAGCATTTAGCTACAGTTAAGCTGTTTTTAGCTTATCATCTTGTTTTAATCTTAGCATTTAGCTACACTTTAGCTTGTTTCAAACAGCTCTGTCTGTACCTGTTAACGTCTCCAGCTGTGTAACCTCTGGTTCTGGTTCTGGTTCTGTGTTGCGGCTCAGAGATGTGGTACTGGGTCTTCCTGTGGTGTCTCTTCTCCTCGCTCTTCGTGCACGGCGCCGCAGGGCTGCTGATGCTGGTGCTGCTGCAGCGCCACCGCTGGGGCCGCCTCGTCACTCTGGTGCTGCTCAGCGGGGGCTTCCTGGCCTCGCTCTGCGGGGGCGTCATCACCAGTAAGTCCAGACCAGGTCCGTCTCGTGTTGGTACCGCTTGGTCCGTTAGCTCAAACTAGCTGAACATCAGCTGAAGTTCATCAGCTACCATTCCAAACTGTAGCTGAACATCAGCTGAAGTTAATCAGCTACCACTCCAAACTGCAGCTGAACATCAGCTAAAGTTCATCAGCTACCACTCCAAACTGCTGCTGAACATCAGCTAAACTTCATCAGCTACCACTCCAAACTGTAGCTGAACATCAGCTGAAGTTCATCTGCTACCATTCCAAACTGTAGCTGAACATCAGCTAAAGTTCATCAGCTACCACTCCAAACTGTAGCTGAACATCAGCTGAAGTTCAGCTGCTACCACTCCAAACTGCAGCTGAACATCAGCTAAAGTTCATCAGCTACCACTCCAAACTGTAGCTATAGCTGAACATCAGCTGAAGTTCAGCTGCTACCACTCCAAACTGTAGCTGAACATCAGCTAAAGTTCATCAGCTACCACTCCAAACTGTAGCTGAACATCAGCTAAAGTTCAGCTGCTTACCATCATTCATTTAGCTCCATCCAGTGAGTCAGGACATATTTTACTAACACACACAGGCTGAAACATCATCATCATCATCATCATCATCCACCTTTTGATGAAGGCAGCAGGTGATTTACCTGTTGGTGATGATCCAGGTGTTTCCAGGTGTTTCAGAGTAATTCTCTGTTCAGCCAGCAGATGGAGACAAATCAAAACACACAAAACCATCTTAACTAAAGGTCAGAGGTCAGGGACGGGTTGTAGCTAGGTTAAGCTTCTAGCTAACTAAATGCTACATCTACGTAGCGTAATCTGCTTTGAGCTAATCTTTGGCTGTTTTTAGCCAAGTTAGCATCTTGTAGCTTCTAGCTGGTATCCTGCTACTTCTGCAATTCAGTTTCAGCTGCTGTTCAGTTTTTTTCTTGTTTTAGCAGATCAGCTAATTTGTTTCTTTAAAAGAAGTCTGGATTTGATTTGAACAATTTTAGCTTTTTGTTTCTGTGAGTTTATCTGTTTTTTGTTTGTTTACCTGTTTGTTTGTTTACTTTTTATCTGTTTGTTTACCTGTTTGTTTCCTGCCCTCAGGTGCGGCGGTAGCAGGTGTGTACCGGATGGCGGGGAAGGGGATGGTTCCTCTGGAGGCTCTGGTTCTGGGTGTGGGTCAGACCGCCCTCTCTGTCGTCGTCTCCTTCTCCAGGATCCTGGCCACGCTGTGAGGAAGAAGCTCCGCCCCCTGGTGTCGGTCCGGTGGTACCGCCGCAGACGAGGAGAACCATCAGAATATAAAGACGTTTGTATCTGACGAACCGACAGAAGTCCTGAAGGATCAGAACCACAGGTTTCAGATCAGAACCACAGGTTCTGGATCAGAACCCGGTTCTCATCAGTTTAACTCCACCAGGAGTAAACCGGCTCTGATCAGATCCAAACTGGATTCTGTCCGTCCAGAACCAGACCTGTTCTGTTCTGATCTGAACCACTGAGGTCAGAAGTTTCCATCAGAACCATGGAGGTCCGGTTAGTTTCAGGCCTGAAAACATTGAATTTAAACCCAAGTCTGAGTTCTGTTCTCCAGACTGGGTCCAACGGTCCAGGTGCTGCTTTAGTGTCCTGGTTCTTATGGTTGCCGGGCCTAACCGGGCCCAACCGGGCCACAGAACTAAATCTAAACATGTCAGAACTCAAGTTTCATCTGTTGATTTTAAGTTTAAAAAACTAATTAAAACTAAAGTTCTGCAGCTGGTTCTGGTTCTGGACTCGTTCTGGTTCTGGACTCAGGCTGGTTCTGGACTCAGGCTGGTTCTGGTTCTGGACTCTGATCTGCCACATTACCTGCCTTCATGTCAGGAACAGACGGAGGTTCTGTCCAGGTTCTACTGGGTCCTCTTCCAACTCAGAACCAGGTCTTTGGATCTGGTTTGGGTTTTTTGTTTTGTTGAAGCAGTGGCTTGGTTCTGTTGGGTTCTGTTCTCTGGATCTGGATCCTCTGGTTCTGTTGGAGGACTGTTACACTGACGGACTGCTGGTTCTGGTTCTGTACAGCTGTGTGCCGGTCCTGCTGATCAGAACCCTCAGGTTCTGCTGACTCAGAGGTCCAGGAACATTTTTTGCACTTTGGGTTCTGAATGTGATGAGTTCTGTAACGGACCTCTGGTACCGGCCCGGCCCGGCCCAGCAGGGGGCGGTGCTGCTCTGCAGCAGCAGGTTCCTGAAGGCCTCAGAGATCTGGATCAGGTCTTTGTATTGGACCGTAAACTGGACTCAGACTGGACCTGAATGAACTCCCACCGGGCGGTACCAGGCCCGGTTTGTGACGAGACCGACTGTAAATCTGTAAAAAATCTTTTCCAGTTTTTTACCGACAGAAAGTGAAAAATAAAAACATTTTACAGAATTTATCTTCAGAGGTTCTGTTTGTTTCAGAGGTTCTGACCCAAGACTGGACCTGCTGAGAGACACTGGATTAAAGCAGCTAAAAGCAGCTAAAAGCTTGCTCAGAGCTAACGATAGCAACAGCTRCTTGTAATAAAAATCTAACAGCTAAGAGCTAAAAACAACTGCAGCTCAAAGGAAAATGAACCAAAGTGATGCTAAAGGTTGCAAACAGCTAGCTAAAAGCTAATATCAAAATGCTAATAGCAGAGCACTAGCTAAAAGTAAAAGCAAAAACCTAGCTAACGGTAACAAAATACTACCTAAAAGAAGCAATAGCTTTGCTAAAACTAGCTTAGCAAAGGCTAGATAAAAGTTGTAGCTAAAAGCTAAATAAAAAGCCAATGGCTAAACATCAGCTAAATATTATAAGCATAAACCTAGCTACAACTAGCAAAATTCTATCTCAAAACAATTTACCAAAATGATAGCTAAAGGTAGCAAAAAACTAAAAACTAACAGCATCAAAGCTAATTTAAAGTTTTTGTTTTTATCCTTTAGCTAGTGCTTTGCTATTAGCTTTTTATTAGTTAACGAAGCACCAACTAAACAAAGCACAGTTATCTAAAAAAAACTAGCTAATTGCAACTAGATTAAAGTAGTGAAGACTGCTAAAAGCTAAAGGTGACAAAATGCTAATAGCTAAGGTAAAAGCAACAATCTGTACAACTAGAAAAAAGCTAGCTAGTTAAGAGCTACAGGAAGCAGAATATTTAGATAAAAATACTTAATAAACTCAGTGGTAGCTAAAAGTATCAAAAGGCTAGCTAAAAGCTAAGTGTAGCATAAGAAGACAAACAGCCTGAAGCAGGAATTAAAGATCAGTTTTTCTGTAGAGAAAACGTTTGTAAATAAAGTTTAATAAATAAAACAATATAAATTTACACAAACTAAAAGGTCCTGAATCAGCCGAACGTTTTGATTTATAAACAGCTGAAATCAGAGAAAAAACTAAACGCTGACTCAGCGTTCTCAGTTTAGGTTTTTTTTTTTACTTTAGAGTCTTTCTGTTTTATCTGATCTGACCTTTCTGTTTCCAGATGAACTTTCAGGTTCTGGTTCTGCTCGGGCCGGGCCGGGCTCAGAATAACTCAGGAGGAATTTAATCAGCGTTTTTGTTATTTTGYTTCGACCAATCAGAGGCCAGAGCGCCGCGGAGCAGGAAGTGTTTCATAATGTGAGACCTCTGAGGTTCTGATGGATCAGAGGAGCTGCAGAACAAAGATGTTTACACTGGATCAGAACCAGAGTCCGGTTCCACAACAAACATGTTTTTRTTTTTATTTACGGTTCTGGTTCTGGTCCAGAAGGCTCGTGGTTCCTTCAGATGAAACCAAGAGGTCGTGACCTTTGACCTGCTGACTGCACAGTCTGGCCTTCAGGGTGACTTGTGCAGAATCTTTCCCAGTCTTCTCATCGGTTCTGACCCGTGACAATGAGTTGGACCTGACAGGTTCTGGTCCTCCGGGCCCACTCCGAGCCGCTCGCCTCTTTTGTCTGATTGTTTCCTGAGCAGGAAACGCTCCAGAGCAGCGACGGCGCTCAGACCAGGGTCCTGCAGACCCCCTTTGAACCGGACCCCCCTGGAACAATGACTGGCTGCAGGCCCGGTTCTTTGACCCAAACAGATCAGACTGAATTATTGACCTGACCTTTGTGTTCTGACTGAGGCCCGGTCCAGAAGCTGCAGTTTATAATAGATCTGAAAGGTCAGACAGGAAGGACTGAGCTCTGCTGAGCAAAAAACTACAAAATAAAAGTAGAAACTTTGAACCTCAGATTTTTATCACCTAATTTATTTTATTTTGATGAACTTTGATCAAACATCAGCTGTTTTTTGTTTTTCTCTCCTAAAGTAAAAATAAGGATTTGTCTTCAATTAGAAAACAAAACAAACAAAAAAATCCTTATAAAAGTTATTAGAAGGATGCAGATTTTCAGAATAAAAGCTCCTGGRTGTCACGCTCAGTTTGTCCAGCAGGTGGCAGCGCTGCTCAGATCATCAGGTATGGTTCTGGGATTCACTCAGTCCTTCGTCCTGTGAGCAGTCTGGACCCACGAGTCCACAGCCCCTTTACCAAGACCTGACTCACCTGTGGACCAGGTGAAGGTCTGGACTCACCTGTGGACCAGGTGAGGGTCTGGACTCACCTGTGGACCAGGTGAAGGTCTGGACTCACCTGTGGACCAGGTGAGGGTCTGGACTCACCTGTGAACCCAGGTGAAGGTCTGGACTCAGGAAGAGAACAGGAAGTGGATTTCTTCTTTCTTCCTCCACCTGGTTGACCTKTTCAGCCCGCAGGAGGCGCTGCGGCCTGCTCACAGCTGACAGGTGGAGCCCACCTGGACAGGTGAGCCATCTGTCTGTTTAGCTGCAGTTAGCATTTAGCTTTCAGCTCAGCTTCAGTATGAAACGTTCAGATCTGCAGAAATGTGACTGAATTTGAAACGTCTCAGGATGAAGGATTCCCTCCTCTTCCTCATTATGTAACTGTTCCTGTCTGACGCCTCTTCATCCTAACATTCCTCCTCTTCATCAATAATGGAGTCACAGAGAGGAGGAGCTTGTTCCTCAGGAACAGGTAGGTAAGGACAGGTGTGTGTGTGTGGGGGGGGGCTGCTACATGATGATGAAGATGATGATGAAGATGTTAGGGTTTTAGGATATTTTTAGATCTTTCAGGTCACTTCCTGTTTCTGAAAGTTTTACCTTCAGAGTGACTAAATGTTTTTATTGGGGTTTTTGTTTTGGTCTGTTTATTTGTTGTTGTTTATCTAACATTTTTTAGTGTTTGTTTAACTTTATCCTAATTTAAACTCCTTTAGATGCACTGCTTTCCCCTTTTGTTGTGATATTTTCTGTTTGTTTATTTATTTATTTGTTGTGAGGTCATGAATGACGATGACTCACTGCAGACCCTGAAGGGACGAAGAAGAGGAGGAGGAAGATCTCACTTTTTAAAACCCTGTCACCAGCAGCTCCTGATGATCCTCCTGCAGCGTTGAGGTCCACCTGCTCAGGTGAGCTGAGACGTGGAGTGGGCTGAYGGAGGGTCTGTGATCCGGGTCGGGGGTCCTGGTCCAGGTTCTGTTGGTTTGTTGAGGATTGGTTTGGTCAGAAACTGAAGAACTTCCTGGTTCTGATGGATGAAAGAGTTCTGTCAAAGGATCAACGTGAGGTTCTGTTGAGGTTCTGCTGAAGGTTCTGTTGAGGTTCTGCTGAAGGTTCTGCTGAAGGTTCTGTTGAGGTTCTAATAAAACTGCAGGTTTTCAGGGGAACCATGTTTTTTTCATGTGGGGTAAAAATAAGGAGCAGAGAGGAATGAGTCACCGGCCCCTCCCCCCTCCACCCCCCCTGGATAAAAATACATCCCAGCTCGACGCGCGGCTGACGTTAGGAGGGGGTGTT